CATCTTCAAAAGAAACCAGACACTGCTCATCGTGTGGGTAAAAAAAAAAAAACCCACATTCTCATTATGCAGTGTGGTATGTGGAGTTTTATGGGAACAATTACTCTAAATCCACTTTGAAATGAGGCTTAAACACAACAAAACTGCTGAAAAGGGAAGCGCTTTGAGTACTTTGCGGATATACAGCATCTAAGCCAGCTATGCATGAACTTAACTTCACCCTGGATGCGCAATCATCTTAATTCACCGTCACAGCCTAACCACAGTGAAAAAAAAACAGAAACCCACATTATCGCCCTCTTATCTTTAATCTAATGAGTCAAAAAGCATTACATTGCACATTCGCTGCACAGCCCGCAGCTTAACGGCTCCGTTCTTGTGCTGTAGAGGTGACCGGGTGCCACGCGGAGCCGTTCAACTTGCCGTCGGTATCGAGACGCAAAACTCGTAAAGACGTATCGAGTGCAGGGAAAACAGGCTCTTAGCTGAAATCTGAAGAGATACGGGGTGATGACACGACTTCACAGCAAGACAGAAGTCGGCTAAACTATTACCAAGAGAGGCTTTTAAAAACTTCCAAAGCTCTCCTCCTATCTCCCAGACTTTTAAAGCGATCCTAAGAATGTCAGCGCTGATGCCGCAGAAAATAGTGTAATGCATAATTCAGCAGATAAATCAAATAACGCAAATAATTCATCAAACAGCACCAGTCCCCGTTTCGCTCTCGCGACGCTCCTTTTAATAATCGCAGCGCTCTCACTGGTTCGGCTGTTTTATTTGGGCTCTCTGTTCCTTTTCAAACCGTCACAATCAAAAGCCACTTTGTTCATAATAGACAAGGAGGGAGGTTTTAGTGCAGATGTCAACAAAGGGAGGCTTGTCGATACAGCCAACTGCAGCGAGTGTGTGTGTGTGCGTCTTTCAACCTGGGCCAATTCAGCACCGGCGCTCTGATAGCGGCAGACTGGTCTAATTTTCTTTGACCAGCTAGTGCACAGAGGCTACTAGTGTGCCCTTCAGACAAAAACACCCTATTTTAACCAGCTTAAGACGCATTTAAAATGACTCAGACATAAATGACACTGACATCCAAATCTGACGTGTAAGAATCTGAGCTGTGTTAGTGAAGGAGGCTCTAAAACATTAGAGGCATTGTGTGGCAGAAAAGCAGAAAACGTTTGATAAAATGCTGTTGCTGCGCTTATCTTATTAGATAGTTTATTTTGAAATGTCTAGAATCTGTTGGACGCGACATCGTCGATGATTAGTAATTGGCTAATCGAGTCTCTCTATGGAGTTGTATTTTAAGACAGAAAGTCCACAACATGATTTAAAAGGACATATCACCACAAAATAGTGTTCCTAGAGTCAAGTCCTTGGCAGTCGCAGAGGGATCTGATTCTAGTCAGTATATAAAAGAGGACAACCAAAAATGTTGTGGTATATATATATATATATATATATATATATATAAACATGACTATGTCTGGTGCGATCAACATGAATCTCATAGAGATTTGGACTTGATTTTTTAGAGTGGGATGGGTTTTATGTTGTTTTTGGACTGGGAACTGTCAGACCTGGCAACTATGATGACATGTTTCCAGTGAGCCCTGTAGCTGTGAGCGCAGAGTTCGAGATGACGCCTGGCCAGATACAATAGTCAAGTTAGCTTGTCCATGGTTTCCTGTGGGGCAGGGGTGTCAAACTCCAGTCCTCAAGGGCCGCTGTCCTGCAGTTTTTAGATGTGCCACAGGTACGAAACACTGGAATGAAATGGTTTAATTACCTCCTTCTTATGTAGATAAGTTCTCCAGAGTCCTATTATTCTATTCAGATGTGGTGCAGCAGAGGCACATCCAAAAGTTGCAGGGCAGTGGCCCTCCAGGACTGGAGTTTGACCCCTGTGCTGTAGGGTTTTTAAAGATTGTGGTGGTGGGATATCCGGGGAATTAAACTATTTTTCATATAAAATTACTATATAAAAATATAAGACTAAAATTTAAGTACAACATTAAAATTTAGGTTGCACTTGACATTTACCTGTGAACACATGATGAAGACTGTTATAAACACTATGTCTCTGGTTCTCTTTTTCAAAGGGTGTAGAACCTGGTCCAGTTGGCAAGATGCTGGTACTGAAGCCTGTCCAGGGCCAACTGTCTAAAGGAGGATTAAGGTCAATAATGTTCATGATACTTAGTTTTCATGTCATGCTGCCTTATATATTTCAGCCCTGAGTTAAATACATGTGTGTTTTGTTTAGTTTTTTTCTTACTGAAAGGAGTGCCTTCTCCTTTCAGGGGAATGACTGGCCCTCTTCCTGACCTGTCTGTACTTCGAGTGGCAGAGGCATTCAACGATCTGGTGACAACCATGGGGATGAGTGTGGAGAAGCCGCTTATGGATTCTGAATTTGGACTTGTGCAAAAAGGAAGTGTACTGTCCTATCAGCAACCCAAACTCTTAACCCAACGTATAGAGTTACATCACTGTGCTCCACCTTCTCTTCCACGTTGTACTCATCATCTGTCACCAACAGAGTGTGTCTTGGGTATGCACTGAAGAGGAACAGCTTCATTTGCAGAGTTTGCAGTTATCCTTTGATATGGCTGACAGAATTGAGACATCAACATGAGACCAGAGCAATATTCACGAGTGGTACATGCTGCGGCAATCAAGAATAACCTCTTCAAGATTTAGGGAAGTGTGTCACGTGAGAGATCACAGCATTGCTGAATCTCTTGCAGAGCGAATAATCAGGAGTACCAAATAAACTGCCGAAATGCAGAGAGGTTCTGACATGGAGTTTCAGGCAGCAAAAGAATACGCCCATCATTATAATGTGAATTATTCACCTTGTGGGCTAGTAATTCACCCCGATGCCCCATGGTGAGGTGCCTCCAATGATGGCCTCGTTTATGACCCCCAAGGAAACACCATCATTTGGCTTGATTGAAATAAAATGTCCAGATGTAAAAAGTTAAGTTGACCGTACTTGCAGATGTCAGATGGAGTTTTCAAATTAAAGAAAACTCATGCTAACTAGGCCAGCTCCTTGTTACTGGTCTGATGTGGTGTGACTTTTTTGTTCGGGCACAGGAGGATTTCTTTATGCGGCGACTGGATCCAGAGAAATGTGACCACTTCTACTTCAACATTTACATGCAAAAGTACCTCTCAATGCACAGTGCAGCACAAAACGTGTGACATTCTCGCTCTGTGACAGTGGTATCCAAATGTGCTTTTTTATTTTTTTGGTAGATGTCATTGCATTCAAAGTCCTTGCAAGTTCTTGTAATTTTCATTTAGACATACCTTCTTTTTTAAAGTTATGTTTCACTAAATGCAAAAAATAAACTAATCTCAAGTTCCACTGTTGTCAGTACTGTCAATTTAGTTTTGCTTTAGCTTTGCTACCAAGTTTATATAAAATCAAGTGTACTAAGAAATGCTTATTTACAATCACATTTATTTATGAAATTTGATAACATGCAATACATAACAATAGAAATAGAAATACATTTGACTGCTTCTATGATAATTAATTCCTTTTACAAAAATTATACACATCTGAGAAACTTTAACTTTTTTAGGTAACACTTTGACGAGGTGTGCATAAGATTGACATGATACTGTCATAAACATGACATGGGACCCGTCATGAAGTGTCATTCGGAAAATAATGACACTTTTAGTGCAAAGTTTCTCTAAAAGTTCCATTAAAGTCTATTAAAAGGGCCAGCTTTGTATTATTTTTTAAATAATGACACTTTAATGCAAAGTTGGCATTTTTAATGGACTTTCAATGCAACTTTTAGAGAAACTTTGCATTAAAAGTGTCATTGTTTACCAAATGACACTTCATGACAACTTTTTAAATTTAATTTATTAGGGATCTGGGGGGCCATCCTTTTAAAATATTTCTATTCTTGAATAAGTAAAAGTTGTGGTTACTTTATCCACTTTTGCATTATTAAAAAGAATCTGCAATGTTACGGTGTTGTGTACCCACAATGTTAGGGCGCTGTGTATACTACAGCAGTAGATTGTATTAATTCTTGTATTTTATGTTAGAAAGTTACTTCTGAACAATGACGCTTGTGACCTAACAAGTGTGATTTTAACATAAAATGTAAGTGTGTTTATTGTATTTTTGAGTTAAGACATTTAATTAAGAAACCAGAGGTGGGGTGAGTAACCCAAATAAAAAAAAAAAGGTTCATTGCGGTGTGCAAACTTACCTTGTGTAAAATCGGATGTCATCATCTACCTTTGAAATCCAAAGGTAGATTGGATTTTCAGTTCTTCAATCTGGTTTGTCAGGACTTTTATTTCTTCTTTTAATTTCTCGTTTTAATTTATTTCCATGTCCAGGCCAGTTGGTTCTGGGACAGAGCAATAATCGTGATCTGCAGAAGTGCATTGCACAGGCGGATCAGCTGCTCGGCTGCCTGCTCACTTGTTCCTATACACTCGCTCTTTCAGGCTGAACACAGAAGTGATTCTATTGAAATAACACAAGGACGGCTCCTTTATTTACCATTCTTCTCCCACCAGCAGTTTTAGGCTGAAGAAGCTGATCCGGAGTGAAGTGAAGGCTGCAAACTTTGCTATGCGGTGTTGGCTTGAATTTGTCACGACAAATATTTACAAGCCATCGTCTTTTTAAGTCAGGATCGCTTGGAAATCCATGAACACTTAAACGCCCGTTATATACGGAAGACGCTGTGCACCGGGGAACACAACAGTGTTCATGGTATTGCTTAAATTGCTTATGAAGTACGATTTTGTCTTTCCTTGCGGTCATGGTCACTCAAAGCGGAAGCAAGTAAGCCGCATTTCGTTGATGCGGATGTGACGTCAGCGCCGTACGTGCAAAGAGCCCATCTGAGTTCCAAACAAAAATATTCCAATCCAAGTTTTTTTTTTTCTCTTGCCAGTCCATTCCAGCCGAAAAATAGCATAAAAGAAATCTCCACTCCGCGTTTTCCAGGCAATCCACAACAACAGAATCCCAAAACAACAGTCCTCAGCTGCACACGACGTTTAGCAACCTGTAGCAGCAAACGCGGATATAAACAGGTGTTTTTTTTTTTTTTTTAATTCACTCACGTTTGGAGAGACACTTGGTCCAAAAGGAAGGTTTCTGTTGTGAGCCAGTGGAGCTGTGAAATGATTCTCTCTCTATTCTGCCCCGATTCCTTTCAAATCGTTCAACGGGGCTTCCAACCGGAAATGACTGAGCTCGGTGGCCATGCTGTCAGAGGATGTATTCTCCAAAAGGAAATGGGGCGTGTTGGTGAGTGTAATGTATGTATATTTACTTAATGATGAGCAATCAGGCTGCCATGACATTTCCAATATTCCTCAGAACTTGAGGGAATTGCGTCACAATGAAGAACATTGAGCATTTCCATGTAACATTACCTCAGCTCTGATTATGGCTAAAATAAGTGCTCACAAATAGGCTATGTATATACATATTTCAGATGCTTTACATTGTTTTATCATATTTTTAAAAATCTGCAGGTGTGGCGGCTTTTGTTCTTGCCATGGCGGTGCTTCGCGATCAATTACATGTAGAGAAAATCCTGTTTATCAAACAGAAAGATGTCTGCACGTAAAAAGCAACATTACACACATACCTATAGTAAATTGTTTGAGTGTGTATTTATGAGGAAAATAAACCACGCCTTCTCCAGTTATGCTCTAGTTTGTTTTGCATCACATTGAATCCAAGTCAAACATGTTGGCGTTCGTGAACGTGAAGTAAACATATTTGTACATTTTTTTCAAAGTCCTGCATCAGTGTGAAAGCACTCTTATGTACTGAAACACATGCCTGTTCAGCACTTTTTTTTTATCGAAAGGGAGAGAACTCCTTTTCTTCTTTACATCTTTGAACTCTAAAGTGGATGTTCGCTGTGCGGACATGCCACCTGCCTCTGTGGTTTGTTTAGCCGCCCAGACATGCCACTTAGAAAGAAAGAAAGAAAAAAAAAAAAAACGCTTCTACACCACCGATTCGGCACAGAGCGCGGCTCCATAGCCGACGCTGTGACATCTCTCTCCCATCACTTTCGACCGGCGGCCTTCCAACGATTCTATTAGACAGAATGCCGCCATATGTATGTGAGCCCATAATACGGCAGTGGGAATTATACAGGCGACGGCGGCTTCCCTGTCATTCATAGACTCGAGGACAGGTGATGAGCGATGAAGATGAATAGCGTTCCATTGCGCTGAATGTCACGCTGAACAAATGAATTCTGTGGCAGCTTCCCATTATTACAATGAGCTCCCCCTCGTGCCCCCACACACACTTTGTTTCAGCATAAATCATGTTAACCTTCTCATTTCCAAGTTCATTCATTTTTTAAGGTGCTCTTCCTCCCGTCTTTCCCAGCTCTGAGCCCTGTAAGATGCATCAAAGACATCTAAGATCTGCTGAGATTCCATTAAATCTCACTCTGCAGAATAGAGTGTCACATTTTTTTTCTTTTTTTTTTTTTTCCTGGGAATGCCAGCTTCTACTCTCTGGCATATCCAGAAGTGTCATTTAGTTGCTCGTTGCAGCATGTAAATGGCCACAGTAGGTCTGTGTGAATCTGTGACTAAGGGAAGCAGGAAATCTGTTGCAGTGCAGGTAAGAACTGGAAGGTTGAAACATTTCCAGACCCACGTTTGGACAGTGTGCGAGTTACCTACCAGAGAAACTGATTGTGACTTATTATTGCAACAATAAACTCACTGGGACGTAGGAGTAAATTTAAGATAAGGATAAGGTAGGGATAGCGTCCCATTCCACATTCTGGAGGTATTCTCTGGTAAAGTTCACTCTGTGAAGGTGAGCATTGCAATCTGGGATTGAGTTCAGACTTTGCAGATATTTTATTTGGCATTGAATCTCATTTCGATATATTTGCACTGAGATTGTGTCTTGCTAGGACAATCATTGCTGTTCAATTGAGACAGATTCCATTCCACACCGTCACACTAACGCCACCAAAAGCTTTTACCTTATTGGTGAAGCAATCAGTGCAGCATTCTCTCCATCTTCTCCACACTCTGATTTTATTACCCTACTGCCTTTGTCACCATTTGGAGAAATTTTTGGATAATGTGTTCCTCTCCATGTTCATGTTCTGGTGCATATGATTCCTACACCAGCTCAAATGGGCCTATTGGTGGCATACATATTGATTGAGGAAAATCTGTTGTGGATTGTTTGGGAGGACAGACTTTGGCCATATCATCCAGCAATCCTGAATCTGACAGCGAGAGGAAACTGCTATGTTGTGATGTTGTCTTGGAAAACTCTTTCTACTGTCTTTCTCAGACATCCACTTGTATTTAATTTGGATGTAGGCCAAGGGATACATCTAAATAAGGATATATGAGACATTTGCTGATCTGGTGGTTGTTTTCTGCCACACGCTAATAAGTTGTGGCAGGTTTAATAGAGAAGCTGGAGCAGCGGTTAGCTCTCATTGAAGGAGATGAGTTTCCTAGGTAGTTTATTAGTCATACTGTAGGTGTGACTACGAATATGAATATATAAGGAAGTTAATATATGAACTTGGGAGTCAATTTGAAGTGTGGGGTGATTCCAGTGTGGCATATTTAGGACACACATAGACGAGGGGTAAGTTAAGATTTTACTTTAGGAACAGAACAACTATAGCCTGGATCAATTCTGCTCGATTATAGTCTCACTGCGCCGCTCAGTCCGGGCTTTCTCCAATGACTCGGATTCGTCCAGTAGATTTTTAACCGGGCCAATCAGAATCAGAAGGAGAAGTTTTGAAAGTTGATTCCCTGTGCTATTTTAGAATTGTAGTCTGCCTGTAGCTTTAGCAGTGGCATTTCCAAATACTGAATTAACATTAACAGCCATCTAGTTCGGCTCGACACGTCTCTCTTCGCAGTGAGGAATGGTTGTCTACAGTGCAGACAATTTCCGGTAAGCTTCATAGCGTCAAACTGGCGCATTACGTCACGACCAAACATTAGTGACTGGGTGAAGTTTCAACTTCAATACACACATGTCCAAGCTAAAGGTTGTCTTAATAAAAGTGTGGATGTGCTGCTTAGTGTTGTGCCAGGGGCAAACTTTAAGCGGTCAGTTGTTTTATTTGTCCTTCGATTCACATCCCACAAAACCCAAACATCCTGACCCCATAACGAATTCTGCAGGGGGCTACCCACCCAGCGCTGTCCGACTGCGACCTTGACCTAGTTGTTCTCATAAACAGTTGTTTGTTCTCTGTAGCCTGAGCTGTGAACAAGCAAAAAGAAACCCTGCAAGATCCTACAGAATCAAAGCAATATCAACAGAGAAACATGCACTTAAACTGATTGTATTTTTCTAACATAATTATATTAATTCTGTAAAATAACTAAACTTAGTATAGAGCTTAGTTATTCATTACAAACTACTACTTTCTGTTCCCTTTCAGTTAACTTCTGTGAAAACTAAGCTTAATATTATTCTGATCAGTGGTCAGATCATTATTCATTATTCCTCAAATGTGCATGAAAGAATCAAAGCTACACTCTAGGTTTGTTTTTGATGAGGGTGTAACATTATAACATGATATAAATCTCAAAAAAGTCCATTTCACATCCTTCACAGCATTGCCATTTGTACAGCGCAGATATTTTTTTCCTAAGTAGTATTTATATAAATATATCTCTATTTCACCTTTAAAGCTGGGACTGTGCAAGAACATGTTGCCATAACTGTTCTGTTGTGTAAAAAGTGCCCCAGCAGAGAAAAGCAGTTGAAAATTACATGGTTTACCACTGTGTGGTACAAGTTGTTTTGCACAGAGTTATATTCTTAAGGGAATTACAGCATACAGGGATTAATTTTTTCATAACTTTTGATTTGGTCAGATTTCACTTGGAAAATATTACATAAAAGCATCAGACCAGTAAGTCACATAAAGCGCCAACATGTTATGTTGTTATTTGTGCCACAGTAATGGAACGCCACATGTTGCATAAAAGGTGCTTTCACAAAAAAACAAACAACAACAAAACAACTGCTTTGGGTGTCTGCCATCCACATAGTGTGGATTTTGGTGGGAAAATTATACAATTACAAGCTGATTGTGCCTGATTATAATATAAAAAGAGAGAATTTCTGTAAATATATGCCTAAAATAACAGCAACATGGAATTTGTCCAGTTTAGTTTATAAGAAGACTTCTCTTTCTTGAAGTTGCTTCAGCCAAGGAAGAAAAATTTCAAGAATCTCTAGGTTTATGTAGGAAGTGTTTTGACAGGATGAGCTTATGAAGCACAATAGGTTAAAGATGTCAAGTGATATTATGCGTCCAGACATAATAATGCTCCTGGGCTTGTCTTGATGAAGCAGAAGACAAGCACTTTTGACACCAGCTGACCTAATGACAACATGGGTGCTTGAAGAGTGTTGTGACAGGGAGACTAAACTTGTGCAGTTCCTTAACTAGAGATGACAAGTTACCAGTGGTGGAGAAAGTACTCAAAAAATGTACTGAAGTAAAATTACAAATACACAGACAAAAATGTACTCAAGTAAAAGT